GACGGGGGTGTGAGCCGTCGCGGAGGAAACGGCAGGCCGGAGCGGACGGGGTGTGAGCCGCCGCGGAGGAGACGGCAGGCCGGAGCGGACGGGGTGTGAGCCGCCGCGGAGGAAACGGTCGGCCGGGGCGGACGGGGTGTGAGCCGCCGCGGAGGAGACGGCAGGGCCGCAGCGGCCGGGGTGTGAGCCGCCGCGGAGGAGACGGCAGGCCGGAGCGGACGAGGTGTGAGCCGCCGCGGAGGAGACGGCAGGCCGGAGCGGCCGGGACGGCATAAGGAACGGCAGAGACGGGAGATGCTGAGGAGATTTGGGCAGGGCCGGTCGAGTTATGGTGGTGCTGTGAGTCGGGGTGGCGAAGGAAAGCGCTGTCTGGCCACCGGAAAATGCACAGTGCACTGTCTGGTTGCCGATCAGTGCACAGAACACTGTCTGGTTACCGTGCAGTGAACAGAACGCTGTCTGGTTACCGAGCAGTGGAGAGGACGCTGTCTGGTAACCGAGCAGTGGACAGGACGCTGTCTGGTTACCGAGCAGTGGACAGGACGCTGTCTGGTAACCGAGCAGTGGACAGGGTGCTGTCTGGTTACCGAGCAGTGTGCCGGTCCCGCTGATTGCGGGCAGCTGAATCCGACGGTGGTCAGCCGTCATAGCAGGCACGATCACCGTCATCTTGCGTGGGCCGCGAAACCCCATCACGTTCGTCTCCTGCGATCCACGGAAAGGCATCAGCACGGCAACACTCGGCTCATCGGACACGGAGCACATGGCCCGCACATCATTCCAAGTCATTTTGATTACGCAGATTCGTTCCTAGGTACATCATGTATATTTCCAGAAGCAATACAAGGCATTAAAACAAGAGCCTGATGCAGAGAACCCTGGGTGCCGAGTGCTCGACTTACCGTGTAGAAAATTGTATGCATCAAAAACAATTTCCTGGATATATATATATATATATATATATATATATATATATATATATATATATATATGACATCTTTTTTGGCACCTGGCCAACAACTGAAGGGTAAAAGAATAACTCCGCTCGCCGTCAACGGCGTCAGAGGGACTTGCATTGAATCTACAACGTGTGTGGCCATGTTGTAAAACCCCAGGAGTGTTCACGATCACCCCAGGACTGTTCACGATCACCCCAGGAGTGTTCACGATCACCCCAGGACTGTTCACGATCACCCCAGGACTGTTCACGATCACCCCAGGAGTGTTCACGATCACCCGTCCTATGTATTCCGTCGCATCGTCAGAATGAATTCCCTCGGCATGCGCTACCCAGCAGGCCCTAGCATGTTCACAAGCCCCTCTCTCCTCTGCAGTTCTCCCTGACTGCGTCTTCACAGCCTCAGTGGCCTGTCCCCTCCGTCCTCAGTCCATCTGGCTCTCAGTCCTCTGTGTTGGGTCACATGGGCCCCCCAGCCCCTGCCCCGCCAGCAGCGCCCGGTCCCGGGCAGGCTCGGCCCGCGCCCGGGGCAGACTCACGTAACAGATGGCAGCCACCTCCTGGCGAGTCGAGAACGGGCTGCGGCCCAGGTGGCGACAGCGCGGCGACACGCCGCTGTCGTACACCGTGAACTGCGTGCCCACCAGGTTCGAACGCACTTTGCCTGAGGAGAGGCGGCGGGGCGCGCCGAGTCAGACCCCACAAGCTGGGCGGTCGCGGAGCGGCCCGCGCAGACCAGCGGCGGACGCCTCCGGAGGCGGCGGAGGTTAAGGAGTTTCCGGCGATGACAGTTCGGTGTTCGGTTAGTACCGACATGTTCGATAAGTAAACTTGCGTTCGGCTCGAAATGACTTCTGAATCGGCTCATGAGTCAATTATTTTGGTGTGAGTCGTCAGCTGAGAAGGCTCACAAGAAAAAATGGCCTCCGAGTCATGAGCTGAATTATGGGCCGACCATTTCAAGAAATGTTGTGCCAATGAGTCGTATGGCTCAAATGAAAATGGTAAAACGAAGAATTAAAGCACATTCCACACAAATAAATACATCATTTCAGAGTGTTAACATGAACAGCATGCAGCATTAGCTATAGGGCTTTTTGCAAAATCAGCACAAAGTTTTATATTAACTTCGAGGAAGCAAGGAAGGAAGGAGGAAGCAAATTCCTATATCCTATGACAAAATAAAGAAACAATTGTCTGCCACATCTAAAATCCAAGAGCTGGTCATCTTGTTATTGCCAGTTGTCACAACAATTAACTAATCTATACCTCACGGGTCAGAGACGGATCCAGGATTTTCGTCAAGGGGGGGGGGGCATGGGACAATGTGGGGCACCCCTGGAGATTTGGGGCCCCTCCCCAAAAATATCCTTGCATTTCGGTCATTACATCTTAAGACAAGTCGTATGTCATACACACACACACACCACACACACACCCACACCCACACACACAACACACCACACACACACACACACACACACCACACCACACACACCACCCACACACCACACAACCACACAACCACACACACACCACACAATCACACACACACCCCACACACACACACACACACACACACCCACTAGACACACACCACACATATTATATAATTATATCTATATATATATACTTAGTATATGCTAGTCTATCTATCTATCTATCTATCTATCTATATATATATACATATATATATATATATATATATATATATATATATATATATATATATATATATATATGTATATCTCTCTCTCTCTCTCTCTCTCTCTCTTTATTTTTATTTATGTAATAAATACGGAAACCCGTATTACTCTGCACAGCCCTATAAAGCATAGGCATGCTACGCATGTACACACATAAAGCTCGCTCATTTTTTACAGATCATTTTAAATGCTGTGATTTTGAGGCAAGTGTTTCGTAACAGCGGGCAAAATAGCCTTGAATTGAGTGCTAACAACCATCAAACCCAAGCATGGACTTCATTCCTAGCTTATGTATTTACGGCTAGGCGGCTGTGCGATGTAATCAGCTGGTGGCTGATGACTAATACACAAATCTTCCTTTGTTATTGTGCAGTACAACATATCAAAGCATTCAAAATATATTAGGAACATGATTCACTAGTATAATAAGTGTCACACGCTCAATAGCCAATGGAAATGACACATACGACGTCGGCGGCAAGTAAAATTACGTTCGGCAATCGCGCGTAAAAATTCATCGGCGCATATTCGACTGCTGCTCTAAGGCGAAAGCACCAAGGCTAGTAGGGACGGAACCAGAGCGATCATGAATGCCGCAGGACGCCAGCAAAGTGGCTCTCGTCAGCAAGTATGGGGCCCTCAGAGCAAGCAAAAAGAGCGCAAGACCAACGTGGTGGGACCCTAAACGATCGGTAATGCCCCGGCTGGCTGACATATAAGGCCCCGGCCATAGCACTGGACCCTCCAAGCAAGGCGGAATTATCCAATGAATACCCCTGCGCGATCAATAGTGCACGGGCAGGTTAGCAACACGAGCCTCGATAGGAGTGAAGAGTGCTCCGCAAATGAGACCAAAGGGAGTCAGTCCTCAATCGAAGGAGAGGACCCCTGAGCATCGGGTGGCCCGTACATTACTTTATAAGAGCCCTAGCTACAGCTACAAGGTTCTCCAAGCAAGTGGAAATAATCCGAGATTTATATGAAGGGCCCCTGAGAAACTGAGTGTACCCTGGCATATGAGACCCCGGAAAAAGTGTATAGAGCCTTTAGGGCGAGTGAGAAGAATCCGTGGAGGAAAACCTGATCGATCAACAGTGCTCAGCATAGAGGCGGATAGCGTCCCAACAGCGCATTGAGCCCTACGAGAAAATGCAAAGAGATCAAGGACAACGAAGAAAGCTCCTTAGCAATCAGATTGACCCGGCAAGTGTGCATATAGGGTCATGGCAACCAACAACGTAATGCCTCTGACAGCGTAATAAGCCCCAAACCTTTCCCCAGGCAACACTTTCTCAATAAGCGAAGAATGAACTTCGTTTACGTATGAACTTTCTACTTTTGTTAGCAATGGTTCTTGGTTGTCTGTAGGCCCAAAGGTGTCTAATTTTTTTTTTGTAAGAAAACTGCGTCCAGTCTGGCCGTTTATGGGCCCCTTCGGAGCTTTTAGGTACCCACGGCATGGTCCATGGGGGGATGGTCTCGTGCCTCCCCTCCCCTCCACCCTCTGCATCCGCCACTGGTCCGAGCAGCTGAATTGATGGGGTCCGCCAAGAACGTAAGGCCATCCATTCAAATAAGACATACTCACGACGCAATGAGTAGGGCTCTGAACGAGCGAGTCTGCCCGAACAGGTTAACAGATGGAACCCTGTCAAGAGCGTGGGACCCTCCATTCAAATAGGAAGTGCCCACGACCCAATGTAGAGGGCCTCTGAATGACCAAGTGTGCCCGAACAGGTTAACAGATAAGGTTCACAAAAAGAGCGTGGTGCCCTCCATTCTAATAGGAAGTATTCAAGACCCAGTGCAGAGGAACCCCAAATGATCCAGTGCGTCAGAGCAGGTCAACATATCGGACCCCGTCAAGAGCGTAGGGCCCTCCATTGAAATAGGAAGTACCCAAGACCCAATGTAGAGGGTCCCGAATGATCGAGTGTGCCCGAGCAGGTTAACAAATAGGGCTCCCAAAAAGAGCGTAAGGCCCTCCATTCGAATAGGAAGCAACGAAGATCTGATGTAAATGGCCCCATAATTATGGAATGTACCCGAACAGCTCATCAGCAGGGCCCCAACAAGAGCGTAGGCTCCTCCATTGAAATAATAAATAACCAAAACCCAGTGCGGAGGGCCCGCGAAAGATGAAGTATACCTGAGAAGATTATCAGGTGGCTCAGACAAGAGTGCAGGGACCTAAATTCAAACACCAAGACCCAATAAATAGGACCCGAAGAATTCAGTGTGGCCGAAGCGACGAACAGATGGGGTCTCCGACAAGTGCGTAAGGCCCTCCATTCGAAACGGAAGTACCCAAAACCACATGGAGAGGACCCCCATGATCGAATGGGCCGGAGCATCGTAGCAGAAGGGGCTCCGACAGGAACTTAATGCCCTCCATTCAAATAAAAAAATACCCAAAACCTGGTGCAGAGGGCCCCTGAAAGATGGAGCGTACCCGAATAGGTCATCAGATGACCCGGATGGAAGCAGAGCACCCCAAATTTAAACACCAAAAACCAATGTGTAGGCCCCATCGAACAATCTAGTGTCACCGAGGAGGCAAACAGAGAAGGCCCCCGACAAATGTGTAGGACGCTATTCAAATAGTATGTGCCCAAGGCCCAATGTAGAGGGCCCCCGAACGATCAAATGTGTCCGGGCAGGTTATCAGATAGGCCCCGACAAGAGCATAGGCCCCCCCCCCCCATTCGAATAAGAAGTACCCAAGACCCAATGTAGGAGGCCCCCGAATGATCGAGTGTGCCCGAGCAGGTGAACAGATAAGGTTCCCAAAAAGAGCGTAAGCCCCTCCATTAAAATAGGAAGTATTCAAGACCAAACGCAGAGGACCCCCGAATGATCAGCGCGTCATAGCAGGTTAAGATATAGGGCCCCCCTCAAAAGCGTAGGGCCGCCCATTGAAATAGAAAGTACCCAATACCCAATGTAGAGGGCCCCCGAATGATCGAGTGTGCCCGAGCAGGTTAACAAATAGGGCCCCCCACAAGAGCGTGCCCCCCCCCCCCATTCAGATAGAAAGTACATTTAGATAAGAAGTACCCAAGACCCAATGTGGAGGGTCCCCGAACAACTGGGCGTGCCCAAGCGGGCTATCAGCTGGCCCCCGACAAGAGTGTAGGACCCTAAACAAGTGGCAGATAATTGAAAACGCCCTAGACCAATGAAGGGCCCATGAGCATATCGCAAGTGTGTCGGTAGGTTAACCGATACCCGCGTAAAGGGCCCCTGAGCAACCGAGAATACCCCGGCAGGTTAAGGTATGGAACCCCGGCTATAGCCCACAGAGTCTTTCCGGTGACTGAAAAGAATGCGTGGAAGGGCCCGTGATTGACAAGAGTGCCCCGGTGCGCTAACAAAAAGGGCTCTAATAACAGCACAGGGCCCTCCGAGCAAATGCAATGAAATGAAGCGCAACGTGGAATGCTCCTTAACGATCGAAATGATCCTACAAGTGGGCATATAGGTCTCCCAGAAACAGCATGGGGCTCCTAGACAGGGTAAGAAGGCTTAAGATTTCCAGTTCACAACTTTTCCAATCTTTGAATAATTTTTTGACTTCTCATAGGCCATTCACCTTCGCTTACAACTGTTCTTGGCCGCCTGAAAGTACGGAGATACCCAGTTTTTTGCGTTTTGTGTTAAAAACTGCACCTGTTCGGACGGTTATGGGCCCCCTTGGAGCTAATGGACCCCCTCGGGGCCCGCGGGGGCCGTGGCCCCGTGCCCCCCTCCCCCCCCCCACCTTGGATCCGCCCGTCACTGGTGGTAAAACCTGCCGACTTGGTGGATAAGGTCGGCGACAAAAATGTATATATTCACGCGAAGCTTGGTGACAAAGGTGTTTTTGGACAGCAAATTTCAGTGACGGCCAAGACGAAATAATGCATGCGAGACATAACATGAGGTCTCCATACATAGATATTATGCCTCCATTGTCGTA